CTCAGTCCTGACAGCTGCATACATCTCTGGTAAAACAACTGGCTTAGAAAGCTTTAGCTTTTTGAATCTCAGCATCATTAAATAATTATTGTCTGGCCTCCCCATAATTTATTGCCACAATGATGATTTAAATAGATTTTAAAAATGTACAAAACTTAAAAGACATCATTTCACACAACTGAAAATGTAAATTGACCAAAAAAAATTAAAGGCTGAAAAAAAAATCAATATTATTTGCCAAAGTTATAAAAGAACAAATGGAAACCGAATGCTGCCAAGCCTATAACTGCATCCACACTGCTTGAACACACCCAGGATAGTTATACACAACTTATGTGTGTATAAAAGCCCTTAGTGTCACATCTGGGATGCCATTAGCTGAGCATATGTCAGATTTCTTCAAATCTGTTATTATGAATACAATCAGGGCCGGCTCTAGGCACCAGCAAACCAAACACGTGCTTGGGGCAGCACATTTCCAAGGGCAGCATACCGGCCTTTTTTTTTTTTGTGCTTCTGGCAGCAAAAGCCTAGAGCCGGCCCTGGCAGCAGCAGCGCGTCATGCACGGGAGGCACCCTGGGGCTGCTGCAGTTCACGCCGCGGGGGAGCAGCGCCCACACCTTGTGGTTGGGCCGGGCAGGTTTCGAGCGGGGGACATTCAGGCTGGGGGACACCCCACGGGGCACACGGAGCCGCCCCCCAGCATTGCAGCCAGTGCTGGGTAGAGTGGCCCAAGCCGCCCAGGGACTGTGGTAGGGCGGCCAGCAGCAGCAGCAGCAGTGGGGCCATAGAGGGCGGGGCGCTGTCGTGGGGGGCCTGCATCCTGGTCTCTGTGGTGCCGCTGCCTCTAGGGCTACCCTGCCCCTCCTGGGTCCCGGCCTGTCCTGGAGGTGGGCACTCTGGATGGAGGGACCCTGGGCTGAGGTGCGGCCCGGGAGCCCCGCTGCTTACCCCGACCCTGCCAGCGCCAGACCGGCTGGAGGTGAGGGGGGAGCGGGCAGAGTCATCACTGGTGAGGGGGAGCCCAGGACTGGGGTGGCAGGAGGTGCAGGTGGGAGGGGGGAAGAGAGAGCCCAGGGTGGTGTGGGGGGCAGCCAAAAATGTTTTTGCTTGGGGCGGCAAAAAACCTAGAGCCGGCTCTGAATACAATCAAAGCTTCCTAGAATGATAGAGATAAGGGGGGTGGGGGGATTGATTTTATTTTCTGCACTTTCATTCCATGGGAAGAAACAGTATCACTGACTGAATGGTTAGTCAGTTTCCTGTGATTGTCTGAATCTACTCTCAGGGGAAAAGAGCGGCGTTCTTTGCAAACAACAGGAAATGTGATTGTTAAACCAACAAAAATTGGCAAGTGGGACTCTGGCTTGGAACTTATTTTTTCACTCTTCTTGCTTTTAAAATGACTGGATCTCAAGTTTAAAGTCCAAAGGACAGAATAGGACTGGGGTGGGGAAGAACTGAGATGCTTTTACTGCACTATCTGCAAAAAAGTTGGAAAAATTTTAAGAATAAAAGTAAATGCAAAGCTCCACTCTCCCCCGTATGCCGTAACTCTTATATTTTAGCTAAACGGCCTTCACTCCTCTTAGCTATGGCCTCTCTGCATCACCATGTCCATCAACCAGAGCCAGCTGCTTTTAAATGTTCAAGTCCAACTGAAATGATTGGTCCAAAGACGGGACCCTGCTTCACCAGCCACAGATCAATTGGAGGGGAGAATCCAGGAGACCCGAGCCTCAGTTTCCCTGCTAGAATGCATTAGTCAGAGTGACCTCCTGTGGTTTCCTGACACCCTACCATGAGCAAATTCCTCTGGGTGTCAATTCAAAGAACACTCAAGAGTACAAGGGAGGGTCCCCAACATGAGGCATGAAAATACATGGATGGAACAATATGTAGGACAAGGGGACTGGACACAGGGTGGGGATGAAGGCCAGGACCCAGGGGGACACCAGGCCACACAAGAGAGATGGGGTGGGATTCAGGAAGCAGTGGGTGTGGGCAAACAGTGGGGGGATTGGGACATGGGGAAGAAGAGGGGGCTAGGAAAATGGGGCAGGGAACAGATCACAGGGCACATGGAGTGAGGGGATAGGACCTGGGGGCAGATGGGGCAGAATGCTACAGAAGGAGGCTGATGATATGGGGGGTAGGGGAGCAGACAGGGTTGGGGACCAGGACCGTGGGGGGTGTATGGGAGGACTGGAGAAGGAGGCTTGAGTGGAAAGGAGGCTGGTGA